AGCAGCTTCCAGCAGAGGGGTGGAGAGGGCGGCTGAATGCGGCCGCGTACTAGACTGGTGCATCTGCGTCTCCCGTGAGTCAGAGCTCAGTCATACAATTCTCAACCTGGTCAAACAAGACACTCCTGGCTGGCACATGAAATCGTGGTGCCAGCTTCCCCTTCCCTCCCCCCTCCCATCCTAGGTTTCAGCAGGCTTTTTGGTACAAAAGAGACTTGGTTCTGCCCACCTGCCAGCTAACTTGATTCCTTTTGATTGCGCTGTAAAAAGAAGAGTTCGCTCTGCTTATCACGTTTGTACTTTGGTTATAGTGTCAGGCTTGTGCAGATTAATTGGTTGTAGCTTTAGCAGAGCTGTCAGAGTATTTAACCCATTGGAGAAAAATTACCTAAGCTGATGATAAACAGGCTTTAAATGCAGAGCAATTACTTAGTGCTAACAAAGCACCATGACTACACACTTTGTCCAAATGCAAAAAGCAAAGTCTTATCAGTGGTTCTGTTTGCAGGAGGACACTAAAAGATAACCTTTGTTTGTGCAAATACTTACCTGATAAGATCATCCGGAAAGGGAACAGATGAAATTTCTGGTTCTATCTTGCCTGAAGGTTATGCTTCAGATTACAAAGTATCAAACAAAAAAGAATAATGATCACAAACTGTGAATCTCTTCTAGTTGGACCAAAAGTCTCCGATGGTGGGTTTCTTTCCTGCTTGCATTGATTGCCTTTATTTCTAGCACATAACAATAAAGCCATTGAGAGACCTTTAACCAACAGGACTTTGGATTTCATTGTTCGCAGGAACTGGCAAAGCTGGAGGGCTGGTTAGCATTGAACTTGGTTTGGTCGTTGCAGGCTTAACCCTGACTGGTAGCCAGGGTTTACAGCACAGCCGTCCTGTGACTCACAACTGCTCTGTTTTGCATTGATGGTGAAACTGGTCCGGGAGTTTCCAAACTGTGAAAGCTTAGGAGGTGCTTTTAGTGGGACGTGCACTCAATACCATTTGCCTCTCAAGGGTCACAGGTCACATTCTGAAGCAGCAGAGGTTTGAGTTTTTATTGTGATGAGTCTTAACATCTTGCATTTGACCTCTGTCTAGCTCACTCCAGTTTTTTTCTGTGTTAAGATTTGACTGAAAGGACACTGTTTATTGAATGCTTTTAATTGACCAACTTTAAAAAAAAATCCAGTTCGTTATAGCGCATCGATCAAAAGATTTACAAAAGTGACATCTTTTATTTTGCTTTCAGATAACTTATCAGAGGTTTCCCATTTGGTGTTTGTAAAGGACCTCTATATCAGGGGAAAAATAAAATGCAAGCACATGTTTTGGTCTTTTTGGATCAAGGCCTTGTATTAACCCAAGCATGCTCAAAGCTCCATCTCATGCAGAAAGTAAATACATATTTTCTAGTGGAATGTTTCTAAGGGTAGTTATCTTAGCCTGCTTTATGGTCTGTGTCAGATTTTTAGACATGAATGTGATTTTAGGTTGATTTGGATGCCGTGTAGTACTTTGTCTGGACGCTAATGCAATGGCATGGTGTTCGTGTGAGCCCCATCTCGCCTGCTGTACTCTACTGACTTTGGCTTCCCTTGGCCAATTTCAGTTGCAGTTGACAGAGGGATGGAGGTGGCAAAGACATTACGTTCCTACCAGTTACATGAGAGGAAGTGTCTGGGTCGAGAAGCAAGAGGCTCTGAATTAGGCCTGCGTGCCCCCTACTGAAAAAGGCTTTATATAAGCCATCACCTCGTTAGGCTCAGAGAACCTGGGCAGACAAGCAAGCCCTTGGAAACCGGCCGTCATTCGTTTTCTTGCTCACTGGACTACCTGGCCTGTGTGGATTTCCCGCCCCGACTGATCTGCTGGCATCTTATGATGAGGTTTTTTGAAAACGTGTTTGAGTTTGATATTCAGGTGCCCCTTACGCTCTTGCTCCCCGCCCACTAGAGGCTGACAAAACTGGCAGTAAGCAGACGCGTTTTTGGGAGGTGGCTTCACAAGTTATGTTCAGGTAGCTGTTGAGTTTCGCTTTTTCTTTCCAAGTGGGACTGATAGAAGTTTTCTGGAGCAGATCTTAATTGCAGACATGCAGCACAGCAAGATGTGTTTCTGAAACAGCCGCTCAGCTCACCACAGGTGTGGTGAGGGCGCATCATTTATATTTTAAATGATCAGGGACTGAGCTGCTTACTTTTAGGCGATTTCAGTGGTTTCACACTCATGGAGCTGTGTGCTCTCCGCCTTTGGTGATGTGGGCAGGTGTTGAGGGAGTGTTTTGCACCTCCGCGTGTGTTGGGAACCATACAGGAACTGGTCTGGTTGCTTCATAAGAAATTCTGTAAATGCTGTTGTGCATGCGAGCTCTGGCGGCTCAGCTGTTTTTCTGTGGCTCACCACAATCAAACTGTGATTTTTCGAGTCAATAGAAGGACTGCAAATCTGAAGCTGGACCAGCCTTCCTTACGGAGGTTTTTTTAATGCCTCAGTTTCCATAGCAATGGAAATAAGCACTCCTCTTGCTTGAGAGCCGGCTATGTGCGTGCGTATATATGTCTTGCATAAGACTGGGAGGACAGTGCCTACTTCTTTTCCTGGAAATAGGTTTGGAAGGGAGGAGGAGTATTAGATAATGGCTCTGCAGAGCTGCTGCTGCAAACTAACATATCTCAGGGAGCGGGACAGGTACAGGGAGAGGATGACTGTCACCGGGACCTGTGCTGGCTGAGACCCCCCGACAAAAGGAACTCCCTCGATCATGAGTTTGCTTTTCATCTGTGCACTTTTTATTAGGAGTTAGAACTTGCAGGAAATAAAATGCAGTCCTTGAAGGCAGGGGAATGTGATGTTAGTCATCGATATTAGTCGTTGACAGTTTCTGCCTTATGGGCTATTCAGGCTGTTTCCTGAAAAAGGAAATCTTTCATTAGCTAGTTATTTTCCTTAGCAGTGCTGTAAGGGCATCAGCAAATAATACAGTTCCTGGGAAAGCTGTTGGACTGTTTAGTGCCTGCCTGTGTGATCAGGGGAGAATGATGGGGAAATTTTAATGAAAGAAATTCTATCAGAGCTGAAAAATACAAATGGCTTCAAAATGCTGTTCAGAGTTGACTCCTTAGCAATCAATTTTAATAAATCTTCTATGTGCAAATGAGGAATCCCAATGTCATGTTGTCTGATATCTGGATCTTGACTGTTTTCTAGTGGTCTTCGACATTGTGCCAAATGTATTGTGAAGGTGTGATGCAGCAGAGCCACTGAAACACGTTCACCTCTAATAGGAGCAATGATATAGCCTACAGAACTGAAAGGGGAAAATGCAGTATCCCAGTGAGACTGCAGCTGAGAATTCGGTGGGTAGAGCGGACATACTTGGTGAGTCAGAAGGAGCAAGGGCACAGTCCTGCTCCAGAAGAGTGCCGCAAGATTGGCAGTGCCCAGTTCTCAGCGCCTTGCTTGCAGGACTCGTCCCCTCCCACCCCAATAAAGCTTAGATTTTTTTCAAAAGTACAAAAGGAGTATGAGACTTTGTACCACTCACCTTAACAGCAGTGAAAAGTCCTAGTCCCTCCAAGACAGCTTTGAAAGCATCGGTTTAAGATAGTTGTTTAAGACAACTAATGGAATAGAATGAATCGAGGTGTTTCCATTATTTCTTAGATTTGGTGTTCTGTCAAAGATTGTAGTTGGTACTGTTATCCCTGCTGATCTGTGCTTTAGCTAATTATGTTGTCGCAGCTTCTAAAATCTCTTCTTTGAGTTCCTATGTACTTTCTCATTAGTCTCATATCATGATCATGTAAGTTCATATTGGCCTTTCAGTATCTTTGGTTTTTTGAACATGTCCAGTGGTCTTTCTGTTCACTGCCATTTCAGTTCTACCATTACAAACCAGTCTTTGCTAGAGCTTTGTTCACGCATTTAATAATATCAAGAATTTTGTTTCTGTATTGCCTTAAAACTATGTGATTGTAATGTAGGAACTGAGTTCACAATTTCTCCTCTAAGCAACATGTAATGTAAAATAGTTGCACATCCTGAGGTATTTGGTTGCTTTTTTTGCAAGTGGTGTGATTCTCCACTCCCCACGATACCTTAGTGTGGTATTACATTTGTTCTGTGTGGATGGAAAATAAAGCTGGTCGGCTGGTTGTTTCTCTGTGTGTGCACACACAGATAGACATTTTAATTAGATGCACTTTTTCTCTTCCTGACATCTTTATGGCAGACACATAGGTTTTCATAAACTTTTCTTGCTAATATCCACTTACCTTTACAAGGTCTATTTTTCTCTGTAATGTTACTTTAACCCAGTTTTTCATTTTACTGCAAGTCACTCTAATAAGGACATCTCTTCTCTGTTCAGGTTTCTGTAATTTAGCTTTACTGAACAGGTCTGTCAGTGGATAATCAATGGTCTTGCCTGAAACCTTGGTTTATGTAAGAAAAATATGTCTTTCTCAGATAAGTCATTATAAAGTCTATACCAATACATATATTTCTGTATGCAAAAGGGAATTGATATCAATCAACTTTATGTTGGAAGAACAGTATCTGCATGACATTTTTCCCCATATAGTTATTTCAGTTACAAAACCATAAATTACGTCTGAAATTAACTGTTACAGCTTTCTAGCAGTCCAGGAATCTTGTACTAAAAAACATAAGAAATACTTCTAATGTGTAGTTTGAGTTATTTGGTTTTATTACTGGGTTAATTGTTTAAAGAAACACCTGCTGTGCTCAAGATGAGCTTTCAATGGCTGTAAATGTCGCAGCACATGCTTACCTGACACTGGCACAGCATTCATTCTTACTGTGAAATTGTTGTGCCCATGAGGAATGCTGTAAAAGAAGCTGGTGCTTACATAATTCCAGTTTCTGACAAGCTCTCTCTAGCATCATTGTTCTGCAGTCTTTTGGTGGGGAGAGGAGATCTTTGAGTTTCCGAGTCAAAAAGATATGACACACATCCATTTTTCTTTTTTCCAGGATCTTTCCCAGGGAGTATCTTCTCCAGCAAATCCATCTTTATTCTCTCGCAGACCTTCAACAGGTAAGTTTCTTCAAGTAATTCTACCTGTAACACATCAAGTCTGTTCTCATCTTCAATGCTAATTGTACATTCCCCCTTCTAGCTAATCGTAGCATAAATAGCTTTACTTCTGAGCCATCTCTGTTGTTTATAGTTTAATATAAAAATGGGTTAACAGGGGCATTGGTTAGGGATGAGAGAGAGAAAGCCTAGAGCATCAGTGTTGAAATGGGGCTGGAAAGAGGCTGCAAAAGAAAACTGTAGTCTGCAAAGGGAACTTTGCTGTGAGAAATTTTTCATATGATCGATGAAGGCTCATCTAAGGCTCAGCCTACAGGTGACAAGTAGTATTTATTTCTTTGCTTGAAAGAATAGTTATTCAGGAATTTATGAATTTGTACAGTCCCTACTGCAACGTGCTTATTTACAAAGTCTGCTAGGCATTACCACAAGAGGGGAAAAAATAAAAAATAAAAAAAACCAAACACAAAAACCTCAGCAAGCCTGCTACACAAAGTTAAGCCATGCAGCGTAACTATGACAGACGTGACCACAGAAGAGGTAATGTGCCAGCAAAATGTGTCTTTGCATTGATACTGATTGAACTAAGCAAGCACCTTGCAGTACATCTGCCTCAGCAGCAGAATTTTATTACACACCAGATTAAACAAGAAGAATTTGGCAAAAAGAGCTGAAAAGAGAGGATAGGGGATCTAAGGTGAATGCGCTGCAGTGCTCGGATGCACAATGGAGGAAGCAATGGGGTAAGATGCACTAGCTGACCTGGGCACATCTGTGTTCACACTCTAATGTCATTGCCAGTGATATGTAAAACACATTATTTTAAGCTTCTTCCGTTGATGTTTCCCATGTCTAGTGGTGCCTTTTCTGCAGGATAACAGGTAGCATAGTCAGTTCTGGATGTTCAGTTGACACATTTAAGTTGAGGTAGTTCAGTTGCCCCTCAGAGCTGGAGACCACAGAACTGCAGGAAGCATGGCTTTTGTTGGCTGGTGAAGTCACAGGGTAGAAATGATTCCGTATATATAATAAAAAGGCCAGTCATCCATCTGAGGTCTAAAACTGTTTCCGCATCTTTTCGGCATGTTCTGCTATCTCATCTTTAATAATCGAGCCATGAAAAAGCAAGCTACTTAACTCCAGAGCTGCAGTCTCCCTGGTGGGCCTGTCTATTAGCCCCCAGTGCTTTGTAAGCTGCTTAATCGGTTCCTAACATTGGTAGTAGAAGTTTTAGAAGCAATCAGCAGCTTATCAAGCACCCTGTGGGAGGGAGGGAGGGTAGAAGTCACAATTCATCCATTGATTTAGCAGTTCCCTTTAGCATGTTTCTTTGTGTTTGCAAGACACCTTCTCTTCCCCTGAGGGCCCCAGCCCCAAATTTACTATATTTAGAGGCAATATAGTTTGATTACCATTTCTGCTGGGGTGGGTTAAATTGCATTTACCTTTTAATCTAGCTATATCCTTGTTGTCAGTCTGGAGAGTTTTCCACTTCCCGGAGGCTCCAAGTTTGAAATTGGATTTGCCTGTTTTTGTCAAAGCGGAACCAGAGTGGGAAGGGGAGCAGGGTCCCACTGAGAAAATGAATCCAACAGCCGGCGAAACACTAGTACCCTTACAGCCCCTGCTTCCTCCCTGGTTTGTCCCTTGCCACTGCTTTCTCCCGATTGCTCATCATTTTCTACTGACCTGCAGTTTGGGTGTTTTTTAATCCTAAAAGTTTCCCCTCCTTTTGATTCTTCTGCTGCCTATTTCCTCATTTCCATGGGCTGCTTTTGCACTGTATCCTGCTGTCATGTAGATTGTGTGTGTTTGGGGAATTAACTAAAAGGTTTATTAAAGATTAATGGAAAGATAAGGCATGGTGAGTGAATTAGAAAAGCAGAGAGGGGTAATCTGCAGATATAAGCAACCTTTACCCTGGTTAGTCCCAGCTCAATTCTGATTTGTTTCCTAGCGAAGTTCTCTTTAAAGATCCTAGAAAACATGGGTCGTTTCCTGCCAAGCAGCTGAGTTTCAAAAATGTGGTATGAGGGTCTGTTTTTAGGTGCAAAAAAGTTGAAATGCATGTTTGCCAGTAGATGAAGCAGCATATAATACTATTCTAAAATGAAATCCAATTTAAATCTTTTTCCAAGCTTAACAGAGCTCCATGCCTAGGCCTTATGGACGTGGCAGAGTACAGACTTGAGCTATCTGATGGTCTGGGGATGGTTGTCACTTGGGTCCATTTGGACAGGGCTCTAGTGGAGAAGACCTTAACTGTGAGGTTAAAAGCAGAGTGGCAAAAATTGAAACAAAATGTCCTTAATTTTGGAAACTCATCAAATCCGGGTGAGGTAGTGGTTTTGCTAGTACTTTACTCATTAACAAACGCTCGTAGTGCAGATATGAGTAGGCCTGACCTTTAACCAAAGAGGCAGCAAGTGATGGTCTTTATTTGTATGTGCATGTTTATTTAAAATAAACATGAATGCACACATGTACCCCAGCAAGGTTTCACTGCAGACCAGGGCCCCAGGGACTACGTTAAAGTTTACAGCAAGTCTATCTATGGGCATTCCCATGGGGATACATATTCTTAGAATCCTCTTGTCATTGTTGTCGTTGGAGGTGTTAGCAGACGAGATAACTAATTAGGTGCATTCAGATTTAACAAGCAGAAACACGAAGCGTGACAGCTTGCCTATTCTGCCCCATTGGCTACACTTGCTTTCCTCCCCAACCCTCCCTGGCGTCATCGGCCCAGAGAGCGATCTGCCCTGCGTCACCCACAGCACCACTGCATCTCTGTTAGCCAGTTTGTCCAGGGCTATTCCAACCAATTAAAGCTTTAAAGAGGGAGACCTCCAGTTGTTAGGAAGCAAGTATTCACTCCTGAAACTGCTGGTTTTAGCAAACATAGTACACTGGAAAAACAGATTACTCTTATTTACGTGCAGTATAGTCCCTGATGGTGCAGTCACAGTCCAGGGTAGCCTCACCCTAAACCTGCTGGAGGTGTGAACTCTGTTCTCTGCTGACGTTAATAATGGACATATCACTGGTTTTGTGGACGTGTGGACACAGTTCATGCAAGCTGGACTTAAAAACTATCCATTCATTTTGTGTGACTGTGGGGCTGGTTTTGGTGAGACTAGCGGTTTTTACACTGTTAAATATTGATTTGGACAGAAGCTGACTCAGACAAGACTCTTGCACTTCTTAGAAAAGTAATTCTTACTACTTACACTAGATTCCATATTAACAGGAGCTTTTAAAGTAAAAGACTTGAAGTGGCTATTGTGATGAGTTCAAAATTCAGGTGCTTAATCCACACAGAGTTAACTGATGTCTTGCCTGTTTTTTATGTTAAATAGCAAGATATACAAGTGTACAAAGATTATTGCAGTGATGGTCTTTACTGTAGAAACACAAACACTCTTAATCATGGCAATTATTTCATCCTGGTTATGCTACCCCCAAAAGGTATGGTAAAATAAAAAGCATCCACGTAACGGCAAAAATGACTGGATGTCAAGGATGGAAATTGTGAGCGAGACAGGAGATTTAAAAAGATGATGATTTGAAGACTTGTTTACACAGGAACACTCAGGAAAAAAAAATTGAAGTGACAAAATACAGGAATTTAAAATGATGAGTTGAATTACATTGAATCACTGTGTAAATACTGTTATTCAACATGTAAGTGGCTTTCATTTGGTTTATCTCCATTTACTTTGGAAGCAAAGTGAGCTAAATTGTATTAAGGCCATTTTCATCCTGAATGTGTATGCCCATACAGGGATTTAATGTAGTATAATTTATCCATTTTAACATTGTAGATAAACTAATCCGTTAAAATTTAATTAAAACATCCATTTACTTCAGATCAACTTTCCTGACTATCTACCTGTAGATGAACCTACAAGCAATGTGAAGAACAGTGGAGAGAAAGGATGAATAGGAAAGCCCTCTTCTCATAATAACATAGCACAGGTCATACAGTGAATATGAGATACGCATAAAAATCCTTAATGGAAATGCTTCTTTGCAGAACACACAGCAAGCATGAGGAACTTAATGCCACAGTAATATTACTGAGGCCAGAAGTTTATCATCGTTGAGAGGATTAAGTATCCATAATGAGAATGTCCACAGTTACACTACGTAAGGTAAAGAGATTATAAGGTTTCAGAATAGACATATTATTTACTGAGGGGATTAGGAAGATGTCTTCCCTATTGACAGAGGGATCAATGATTTCATCTTCCTCTGACGTACATAGTACTGATTACAGCGTCTGATAGGATTTTGGACTAGGTGAACAGTTGGTCTAACAGCAGCATTCATTAATATGAAAATCTTAATGTTTCTGTTCAAGATTTTGCGCATATAAGGTTCCCTAACAAAAATGTGGGGAATAAAAATGAACTTCAGGGAAACATAAGTTCCACCTAATTTGAGTATATTGTTAGATCAGGATTAGGAAGCCTTAGAAGAACAAAGAAATTGTTAGGTCTCGTTCACTTTTCCAGGCTTTTAACCCACGCTGTACTTTCATCACACCTCCTTTTCCAATGGCAAATTTGGATCCTCCCTGTATTTTCCTAGACTGAGATGGAGGAGGAGATTGGAGATGCTTTTTTTAGCATTTTTGCATGTGCAAAACTTTAGGTTGATTTAGACAAGTTGTTTCCTGAGTCCCAACAATAGCAAAGACTGCAAGGAGATGTGGACTTTTTTTTGCTCTGTACTTGCTGTTTTTTTCAGAAGTAAAACTTTTCTCATCACTCAGTCCTCATACAGCTACTGAGAAATACTCAGCTTAGATTTATAACATACAGCCTGATGACTTCCAAGGCCATCAGTGGTGGTGTCCTTGCCCAGCAGTTCCTTTTTATTCAGGCAAAAAAGGATGGGAAGTGGCACCTAACCCACATGCCTGTGCTGGTGAAAGCCAGTAGTGTGCGTGTGGCTATATTGATTGATAAAACTGGGTTTTGGCTAAACATAGGTCG